GGCATCCTGAAGGCAGGAACTTGAGTCCACATTAATCTCCTCAGCACCTGGTCAGGGCTGGACAATGAGGTAGGTTACATTTACTGAATGAATGAATGACTGAGGCCAGAGCTGTTTCTCCACGGGAGCTAGCCTGCATGAGAGAACTATCTGGAAGATATTGGCATAGTATCCACATTGTGAGACTAGATAAATATTGGTACAGTGAAGAATAATCCTGACTTATTCAAATCCTATAAAATCACCTGGGGAGCTTTAAAAATGTCCAGCCACAAGCCCCGCCCCAGGTCACCTGGGTCACACTCTGTGCAGGGGAGGCCCAGGTAGTGGTGCTTTAGGAATATTTGCCAGGTGATTCTAACATGCAGCAGAGTGGAGAAGCACTGCTGTTTAACCATACCAGCAACATCAGTGATGATGCTGGCTCATGGTACTTACCATGTGCCAAGTGTCCTATGGTTTTTCATGAATTAACTCATCTAATCTACACCACCGCCCTATGAAGAGAAACCGTAATCACCTCCCACTATAACAGCTTTGTTGAGGTATAGCTGACACACAATAAACTGTACCTTTTAAAGTATATAGTTTGATATTTTGATATATATATACACACACACACATCAACACAATCAAGACAATGAACATATCTGTCACCCCCAAGTGTGTCCTTGTGCCCCCTTGTAATCCCTCCCTTCTGCCCTTCCCTGGCTCCCTCTGTCCACAAGTGAGCATCTCTGCTTCCTGTTGCTATATTAGTTTGCACTTTCTTGAATGTTGTAGAAAGGCAATCATGCAGTATGTACTTTTTCGTCCAGTTTCACTCACTCATAATAGTTTTGAGATTCATCCACCTTGCCGTATGTATAGATAGTCCATCCCTTTTCATTGCTGAGTAGTATCCCACTGCAGAGAGTATCACTTCATCCCCCATTTTAAGGATGAGGAGACTCAGGTTCAGAAAGAAAAATGAAGTGACTTGCCCAAGGTCACTTGGCTGGTAAATGGTGAACTTGAATCCAGGTAGTTGCCTCCAGGCCAGCTGGCCAAACTGTCACCTGTGTGTTCTCTCTAATTAGTCCATAATACCCTTTCCTGTGTAGGCAGAATGATTCACCACGCCCACCCCCAAATCTAGGGGGAAAAAAAAGAAAAAACAGTCTATGTCCAATCCCTGGAATCTGTGAAGATGGTACATAAAATGGCAAAGGGGAATTCAATTTGCAGGTGGAATTAAGATTCCTATCAGCTGACCTTAAAAAAAGAGATTATCTTTGGTTATCCAGGTGGGCCCAACACAGTCACAAGGGTCCCTGAAGAAGCGGTCGCAGTCAGATATTAAAGATGCTGTGGGCTGGATCTAAAGATGGAAGAAGGGGCCACGAGCCAAGGAATGTAAGTAAAAGACGAGACAGATTGTCCCCTAGAGCTTCAGAGGGAATGCAGTCCTGTTGACACCCCAGTGAGACCCACTTCACTCTCTGACCTCCAAGTCTGTAAGACAGTACACTTTTGTTGTTTTAAGTCACTAATTTCATGGTGATTTGATAGAGCAGCCATAGGAAACTGACAAAATGACCTTGACTGTGAGTCTTGGGAGGCCAGCCAGGGACTGTAGGGTGTGCAGGGGCAGCTGGGGCAGACTGAGCCTATCTGAGCATGTGGAACTCCAGGCAGAGAGTCCATACCCCCAGCTCCCTGCCCCAGGCACAGCCTCAGGCTCTGGCTGAAATATTCCCAGGGTCACAGGAGCAGCTGGGATGTGGGCAGAGATTTCTGGGTAGAACAAATCATCCCCTAGTTCTCTGTGGGCCTATGGTGAATGCAAGAGGCAGGCCTTCTCCACCATCTGAGCAAGACAGACCCGGGCCCTCACTGCAGAGGATGCTGGGAGGGTGGGCATGCCAGCCATGCAGCGGGACCTCAGAAAACAGAGAAGTTCAAAGGCTCTGGGGAAGGAGGGGCTGCTGGGAACCCATGGGGGCTGACAGCAATGAGGGCGTGCTTAGCACCCAGCGTTCTAGACAGAGAGCAGCAAGGGCAAAGGCCTGGCGGAGTGGGGAGGGGGCCAGGGTCAGCAACTGGTCAGGAAGGGGCTGGGCTTTCCTAACTGCATCTAAGCTGATAATCATCAGATTCATGTGTGAGAAGGCCGCGCTGGCTGTTTTGTGATACGTAGATTGGAGGAGAGCAAGGCAAGGGCCCAGAACCACCCAGGAGAGAGACTAGCTGTCCGGGTGAGAGAGAATGTGGCAGGCACTAGAGAGGTGACAAGGAGCTAGAGAGGAGGGGGCATCTTTGGGAGAAGAAGGGGCAGCTGATGGCTGGTGGGAAGCCCTCACCCAGAATGAACCCAGACCTGTCTGTGGTGGTGGCTTCAGGATGTGCCTTGCGAAGGCATTACGGCCAGCACCTGGGGCTGCAGTCAGCCCGGGGGCCAGGCCTGGCCACACCCAGCCAAGTGTGAGGGTGAAAGAAAACAAATGCTGGAAAGTCCCGAATCCCCGAGTGAGGGTAAGGGATCTTTTTTTATTGTCACTGTTTCTTGCAGGCATGAGGAAGTTTAAGAAAGCCTTCCTGAGGAAGAGCGGCAGCTGGAGGAAGCTTCCTGGTCTGTGAGCATGTCCTTGGTCTGCAGTCCATCTGGGCAGGAGGAGGAAGGATTCGTGAGCTATCCGGGTGGTAACTGGGGCCCGGATGCCCTTTCTGGCCCTGGAGATGAAGCTCTTATTGGGGCGGGGTCTGGAGAATGCTGTCTCCAGTGCTTCCCACCAACTCCCACGTGACAGGCTGAGTATGTGAAGCCTGGAGGAGGGGTCCTGCCCTGTAGGCTCCATCCTCAAGGAGGGAGCCCTGAGATCGTGTCCAGGGCCCAAGCCTGCCCTGGGCCTCCTACCACTGACCAGGGCTGACAGCCAGACTGACGGGGCCAGGGGCCTTCTGGGCAGCCACCATCTCCTCTCCAGCCTTCGGTGCCCCTGACATGGTAACAGGCCATCACATCTCCCACTGGGATGGGCTGAACTGTGTCTCCTCAAATTTCACATGTTAAAGTCCTAACCCCCAGTAGCTCAGAATGTGTCTGTACTTGGAGATGGGGTCTTAAGGAGATAATTAATTTAAAAAGATATTCTTATAAAAAGGAAATTTGGACATAGACACGCACAGAGGGAAGATGAGGTGAAGATACAGGGAGAAGACAGCCATCTACAATCCAAAAAGAGAGAATTTTTCTTACCAACCCTGATGACACTTTGATTTCAGATTTCTAGTCTCCAGAACTGTGAGAAAATAAATTTCTGTTGTTTAAACCACACAATCTATGGTACCTTGTTACAGCAGCTCTGGCAAAGTAAGAAACCTAGCATTGATAGCAGTGAACACGTACGGTGACCTTCCTGTGTTCCAGGCACGGTGCCAAACATGGAGCACACGTCATCACTCTTAATCCTCACCCATCCTGGCAGGTAGAGATCAGGGACCTTGTTGGAGCAGCCTGGCTTTGCCACCTACCGGCTGTGTGATCACAAGTGAATCGCTTTGCCTCTCTGGGCTTTAGTTTCCTCATCTGCTCACTGGTGCTGGAATAGTACCTACATCCCAGGGTGGTTTCAAGAAATGCTATTAAAACATATAAAGGGTTTAGGCCAGGTCCTGGCACATAGTTGGTGCTCACTAAATGTTGGCTAATATTGTACTCATTTTACAGATATGAAAATGGAGGTTCTGAGAGGTTAAGTAACTTGCCCAAGGTTGCACAGCTAGCAAGTGCTGAGGCCAGGATTCGAATCCAGACAAAGCTGACTCTAAGCAAACTCCACAATGCTGCCTCCTCCCTTGCTACCTCTCTGCGACCCAGAGAGCACAATGGCCACCTCTGTGACTCAGCCCACCACACTCAGGCCCACACTACTGGAAGTAGGCCCGTCACGCTACCAAAATGATCTGTTTGGGGTTTGTCTCCCCCACCATACTGAGCCTGTCTTTGGGACAGGCTCCTTGCTGGAGGGCCCCAACTGTGAACAAAGGCCTCTGCGGATATTTGGGAACTAGGCTCACGTTGCACTCAGCCTAAGTTCCTCTCCAGGCCCTTCCCAGCCAGTTCGTTTCCTCCTCTGGCCCTCACTTCAGCCTTTTGAAGTGGGCAGGGCTGGGGAAGTGAGGTCCCAACAGGAGAGCAACCTGCCCAAGGACACACGGCTGGGAAGCAGCAGGACTGAGAGGAGAACCCAGCTGTTTCTACAGCTCCGGGTCCCAGCCTCTGGCTCACAATACCAGGCGGCCCCAGAAGGAGGTGAGACTGTGCTTGGGGTCCTGGGAGGGACAGAGCCTCTTGCTCCTGAGTAGCCTGCTGTCCTGGACATAGGCCTGAAACCACCCTCCCAAATGCTGCTACAGCATTGCTTCTGTAGTGGTAACAGCCAGGTGTATCTGCAAACCACTTCCTGAGCTTGGAGGCCTGTGAGCTCAGAGACCAGCATGATGAGAAGGGCTTCCAGGGATATATCACGGGATCTGTGGCCCTTGCTGGAGAGACTTGTGTCCAAAAACAAGAGGTGACCTTGGGGGGAGGGTACAGCTCAGTAGTAGAGTGCTTGCTTAGCATACACGAAGTCCTGGGTTCAGTCTCGAGTACCTCCATGAAAAAATCCATAAACCTAATTACCTCCCCCTTCCAAAAAAGAGTAGGGGGGAAGAAAGTTAAAAAAAAAAAAGAGGTGACCTTGATTTATCTCTTCAGCTAGTCAGGAGTGGTCCAGACCACACTTCCTGCATCCTCTGACTGTAAGCTCTTCTGTGAATTCAGTGGTTCATTGTAGTGATCCAGCAAATCTGGCCTGCTTGGAGGCCCCACTGCCAGCCCGCCACCCACTAAGGCCTGCAGCGTGGGGACATGTTTCCCTAGACTACAGACTGAAACAGGCCTGGACGCACTCCTTGGGGGCTCTTGCCTCCCCACCCACATTGCCTTTGCGTGTCCTGAGCTCTGTGTCTTTATGTTTCCTTGAAAGAGAGCTGGGGATCAAGAAAGGGTGACGCAGCTCCCTGCAGCTGACCTGCAAAGACAGAAGACATCCCTCCCAGCTGACCAGCCAGATCTCTTTAATCTGGCCTGTGCGGGGCTGAGGGGGTTCTCTGGGTCTTCCTGTTTAACCTGCCCTTGTCTTAGCACCATTGTCTTTGGAGAGGGACAGCCTCTCCACTGCTCTTGTCCCTTCTTGCAGCCTAAATGAGCTCTCTGGCCTCAGTTGCTCCCTCCCCTCTGAAATCTTTTAAAGTGGTTTGCTGAGTAGAAGCTTCTTAACTGGCCCCAAGGCCTGTGTAATCCAGCCCCCACCAGCCTATCTCCCCATGCCATGCTGACTTCTCCTCAAAGTGTCACTCTCTATGGGCCCTGCCGCCCTTGGCACATCCTTTTCGCTTAAAATGCTTCCATCTCCCTGCCCTTTACCCCATACCCAGCCCATAGCCCTCTTTCCTGCTGAGCCCACTGCACATGCCCTGGGCAGCAGTACCAGTCAATCCCAGATGAAACCCATCTGCCACCCCTGGACAAGTTCAGGCCCCAAGGTTCCTCGCAGCTCTCACCTTTGGCTTTCTAAATCTATTCCAGCTTCAGTCGGCCCTTCTGCAGGATGGGAGAGGAGACCTCTGCCTACTCCTTCATTCTAAGGGGCCGAGAACATGCATCAGACTGTCTGTCTTCACTTGGGCCTCTGTTTCCCCAGGGTCTGCCCCGGCTCCCACCCCAGAATATTTCCTTCCACTTATGGATTTCCACTCAGACCCCTAACAGTTCCCAACAGGTAGCTGAATCCCACTCATAATGTACCTACCTGTAATTATCAGGATATTTAAAATATCTGTTTGGGTGTGGACTCATTTGCTGGAGCCTCTGAGTTACACTGTCCTCCTGCAGGATTGTGAGTTGGGAAACAAGCACTTGGTAGTGGGGGCTGAGAGGCCGACGTACAGATGCTTCCAAGGGGTAGAGAGGTGTCTTCCACACACAGGGCAGCCTCCTCTTAAAATGATTCCAGGACAATTGTGTAGGGTCAGGGATGAGCACAGGACTGACAGCTGGGAGACCTGGTTCCTTCCCCGTCCCAGTTCTGTCCCGTGAACCTGGTCTGTGGGTATCTGGACAATCCTCTGCCCCTCTAACATCAGTTTCCCCATCCGTGCAATGAGTGAAGTCAGAAAGGATACACAGCCAGTGTGGTAGAGTGGATGGGGCCTTGGTGAACTGGTGGCTGGTGCCAGGCTTAAAGCAGCTTCAGGCTGTCCCTCTGCTCCAGCCAACTGCAGGTGGGCTGCCTTGTGTAAATGCATTCTATGTGGTCTGATTCTCCAACTGTCAAAGAAGTCAAAAATCCAGATTTTGGTGCGAAATTGCCTTATTTTTACCTGATGGCAATGAATTCAAAATATTATAAAATACTGTGGGGGCCAAAGAAAACATACCAGGAACTCTTGCTTGCTCACTTTGGACTGGAAAATCTCTGACCTTTAGTGCTGTGGCTCTCATCTGGGTTACACACTAAAATCACCTGATTTAAGGTCTACAGTGGAGCATCCTGGTGAACACAAGGCACCAGGTGCAGGGCTGAACCCTGTGTCATGGACGGGCTGGGTTACCTGGGTAAGTTATATCGCATCACTGAGCCTCTTCTTTGAGATCTGACCAATGGGGCTTATGGACAGTGCAGGAACAATTCATTCATGTAAAGGTCTTGGCATATAAATGGTGTTCAGTGAATGAAGGGTGAAAAAGCCATTGGTAGTTGCTTTTGACTGAGTAGCTTGAACCTGGCCTTGGAAAACAAGTCCATTTGCTTTCAGACCTGAGACAGTGGAAAGTTGCCCAGGGTTGGAGGTCGTGGGACAAGGGACCCAGCTCCACCTCTCCTAGCTGTGGAGTTTGGGAAGAGTTTCCCTGAGCTTAGCATCACCGACTTTCCTGAACACTGTCTTGACCAAGGCTCTCTTTTCATCGTGAATGCCAAAGATTCACTCCGAGCTTATTTGGGGTTGGGGCAGGGACAGACTCAACTCAAAGCTTCCATGTGCATGGAGGGCTGACATTGCCCTAGAGAATCCTCAGGCAGCCTTAGAGAGAGGTTATAATCTGCCCATTTGATGAGAAAACTGGAAGTGAGATAGTGTGACTCCCTCGGAGAGGCACAGGCTAGGAGGAGCAGAGCTAGTTTTGGAATCCAAGACCTAATCACATCTGACTCCCAAGATTAGGGTGGGAGATGCCTTCAGGGGCTGGACACAGAGGCAAGCAATACAGAGAAGGTTTATAGTCAGGGTGTGCCGGTACTTGACAAAGATTCTCTCCTTGAGCAAACCCTAATCAGACTCTTCTGAGCTCTTTCTCAACTAGGCCTCGACTTTTGGACTTTTGTGCTCTCCTAAATTAAAGGGACCAGACTCCAGTTAAAGGGACTCATATTAAAAAAAAAAAAGTTAACAAAGTCTGCTGGCTAGTAAG